CTTTTCTGTTCCCGTGTGGTCAGGAGCTGTAAAAACCCTCAGAAGCCTCACAAGAGCTGTTTGCATATTGGCTCAGGACAAGAGAAGGGAGGGGAAAGTGTGGTAAGGCTGCAAAGGCCTGCTTGGGTGGCAGAAGCAAAGACAGGAGCTGGCCAGACCACCATGAGAGTCCCCAAGAAAAGACCAAAGGAGAGTCATCAGGCCCTCTAGGGTCAGAATGTGCAGCCAGGAAGGCATTTCTCCAGAGCGAGGCCCAGGGAGGGAGTCAGCTGGTGACCCACTTAGGAATATTCAGAGCAGCACGGGTTGGGAGGTGGGGAGGAAGTGGTCATCCACAGCTGAAATGCAGAGAGACCTGATTATGATTGCCAGGAGCAGAGCCCAGGTGAGCAGAAGCCGTGTCAGCAGGGAGCCAGGCAAACACATGGGGGTTAGAACGGCTATAATAGTGCAGGTACCCAGTAGCTCAGTGGCATAGGGAGAGAGGGGCCCACATGGCAGGTGAAGTTCCCTAGAGTAAAGCTCTGGGGAATTTGACTGCTCAGGAGACTTTAGACAAGCCCCAGAGAAGCCTGGAAGGATGGCTCCAGGACAGGTGAGAAACTCAGCAGTTTCAGGACAGACCAGGGGCCAGTGGCAAGGGAGATTCTCCCTGAAGGAGAATTTTCAGCCAAACAGGAAATACATAAAAGGAAATACATCACCTAGTCTGATAATTTCCCTCTCTGGAGATGGAAGAGATAACTCCAAAAATGAGGTATTTTTGAAATAACAGAGAAAAAGAAAGGCTGCTGAAGGAGGAACACTGTTTAAGGTTGAGTTGGCCCCACCAAACGAGAGCAACCTCAGGAGTCACCCTCCAGGGAACTGCCCTACATAGGCAGAGGCCATTAGCACTAGACTGGCCTGTGCTCATGCTCAAAGGCTGTGTTTACACCACGGACTAGTCTGTCAAGTTCAGACCACATGATCACTTTCAACTGTCAGCAAGGAAGGCCTGTCCACCCTGCAGGTTGAGCACTGCCTGGGAACCCAGAGAGGCTCACAGAGCAGCATTCAGAAAGCAGTGGAGATATACCCAAGAGGGATGAAGGAAATGGAACCAACTGATGGGAAAGAGGGGTTTCCTAGGAGCCCTGGCTTTGGCAACTGGGGAGGCAGAAAGCCAAGAGATGAACATGATGCTATTGTTAGGAGAAATCAGAACTCCAGAGCACCTTCAGCTGGAGTTAGTGGAGGGCTGCCCCTCCTCAAAGCTGATACAGAGGATGGGTCACCTAATCAGCCATTGCTACTGTAGGAGAAATGTTGGTCAGCCCCTCAGTGCCTGACTATCCAAGCGCTAATGAATGATCTTTGGGAAACATGGATAGACAAGCACAAAGATCTCTATGCTTCAGAGGATCATGGTAGGGCCTGGAGAACCAGGGAACTAGCTAAGCCATCCCTGAAGTGCCTAGGGGCTACAGAGGTCACAGAATGGGCTAGTGGGAAAAAGAAGTGAGTAGCAACTGAAAATTCTGGGAGGAACCTGGGAGAAATTCTGAGGGTAAATGCTTGAGAAAGAAACCACAGGCCCATTCACCTTTGGCTTGGGATTAAACAGGACCTACCTAGAGCTGTGTGCAGAGGAACCATGAGTAAAACCATAGCCAAGCTCAGAAGAATCTTTCTTGGATGTCTCAGTATTTCTATTCACCACCAACACCCAAACCACACACACATGCATGCACACACAAACATACACACACACACACACACAGAGGCTGACACTGGTCCTGCCAGTGATAGCACTAGGTAGAATGAAAGATTATACTTTGGAAAGCCAGGGTGTGTCTGGGTTATCAACGGTAGTCAGCTAAGAAAGCCCAAGGCAAAGACCCAAGATCAGGGGTAGGACTAGGAAAAAAAACCTGAAATGTAACTTCTGTTCCTGAAATGAGATTGAAGTTAACAATAAGCATTGTGCAGCCCTGTGCCATGATGATCCTGTGACACTGCCAGCCACTCCTCAAACTCATCACCACCATTAAGTCACAGAGCACTCTGCACTCCAATCCAGTTACCAAGGCACTGACTACTAACAGCACTGAGGGCTGCCCTGCCTGCAGTTGGGCCTATTTGGTACTCTTTCCCAACATCATTACACTTCTCCCCAAAGCACTTGAACCTGCTTCTGGGCAATTATGTTTTTATCCACAACTTTCAGCTTTATGTGCTCTTTGACAATCAGTCACTCTCCTTCCCAGTGCTTGTCCGATGGGCTAATGAACAAAGAAGCCATGACGGCAGGGATGGAAGTTACAAATTGGGCTCAACAAAGGGCAGAGATTGGGCTCAACAATTGAGGGGTTATAGAATCCCCCTCACCAAAACTGAAAACCTAACTGGCTTCTGTTCCTGCCTCCAGTGAGTGACCAGCTTGCTAGCAGCAGTAATCAAAGCTGAGCTTCCTCCATGGTGAGGGGTGGGTAGACTATTTATGTTGTGGGAGGCACCACAAACTGCCTTCATCCTAAGAACTAGCCACTTCTGAGAAAGGATCCACAGCCCTATTCACAGCTTTAGGGCCCATGCATGGGCCACAACATGTCCCTTCCTCCCCTCCGCACAATAACATAGGCACTTAGAAGATACAGCAGCTCACATGCACCCCACATACATGTGTGTGTCTACACTCACCAATACTCAGCATGCACACATATGGCACATTCTACCATTCCCATAGCTCCCTCAGTTATACACGTTTCGGTGACCAGACATCTCCGCAGGGGGTGTGCATTGATCTGAAGTTTGTGCACTGAACCAGGCCCTGGAGCCCACAGGATCCCACCCCCAACCCCCACCCCAAGCTGCTTTATTAACTATTATTGCCAAGACTCCATCAGGTACATCTCCATCCATCCTATTGAGAGTGCTGGAGGCTAGGGTCATGAAGACTATAGTCTTTTCACAAAGGGTGCTTTTTTATAGCACATCCCCTAGACCAGGACCACATTCCTCCCATTAAAAGACTGAACCTCAGGGTGGTGCTGTGGTTCAGTGAGTAGGGCACCAGCCCCATATACCGAGGGTGGCAGATTCAAACCCAGCCCCGGCCAAACTGCAACAACAACAACAAAAATTCAACCTCTTCCTCTCCCAGCCAAGTCACTTCTTCCCTGGATGGTGGCGCTTGACTGATATCTGGCAAGTGAGGAACAGTTTGTGGATGAGAAGGGGAAAAGAGAGACTGTGCTTTGAGCTTTTCCCTACCGGTTTTCTATTAGGCATACAAGCAGTGCCTGGATTACAAATGAGATAGGTTCTGTAGGTTTGTTCCTAAGTTGAATTCGTATGTAAGTTTAAACAGGTACCATTTACCTATTACCTGTGATAGCCTCCCTTCATAAATACAAGCTGTTTGTCAGTTGGATGTTTACAACTCAGGGACTGTCTATATATTGCAGTACAAAAAACCTACTATGGGATAGGAATTAGCCTCCGCACTGTCACTTACAAGATGTATAACCTTCCCCCTCACTGAGCCTCAGTTTCCCCATTTGTAAAACAGCCTCTGAGTTTCAACACTTGTCTAAAAATATAAGGAATTATTTCAAGGCAAGTCAAGCTTCTTTGGAACAAGACTCATTACAAGGAGAAAACTCAATATAAAGGCAACTGATCCATGTCCATCTGGTTGCTACATGTTATCTTCAAAACTATTTTCTTAACCTTGTTTGAATGCATGCCACATATCTCAAAGGTTTAGGTTATATCTTCCTAAAGGATAGGATTAACTAACTGGATTAGAAAGTTCTGGCGTCGGAGTCTCCCCCATCAAATTTTGACAGCAAAAACAAAGCCCCCTTGTTATTTCTCTGGGAAAGCAAGGGGGGGGGGGTCGGCATAGACCCCAACAAAGAAAATCTTGAAGTCTTTGTCCTAGGTACTATTAACCACCTGCTGAGCCTCAAACCCACTTACCACTCTTTTTACGCTGCCAATTGCTTCAGTTGTGTAAGACCTCTCTCCTCCCTATTTCTCCCCACTTGTTCCCCAATGACCTAGTTGCCCAGGTCCCATCTCTTTAGCCCACCCCTCCTTGCCAGAACCCCATTCCTGCCTCAGTCTTTCCTGCTTCTGCACTCACCAGCCCCTGGGCCAAGGACAGAGAACAGCAACAGCAGCAATAAGGCTGGAGGCAGCTGGAGCCCAGACCTGAGTCTAGGCTGGGAGAGGGGTAGAGTATGAGAGAGAGGGGATGCTAGTGGGAGAGACTTGGGTAAACACAGAGATGAGGGCAAAGGCTGAGTTAATGGGTTGGCCTGGGCAGAACACCTGGGCTTGAACAAGGGCAGGAGGGGAGATGGAAGGAGGGGCTGTGATGGGGACTGGAGCAAGGATCGGGGTTGAGCCACGGCCTTAAGTAAACACTGGGAATGGGCTTGGGACAGGGGCTGGGCTGGGATCAGTGAGAGGGAGTCGAACATGGGCTGAGTAGGGAATGGAGGCCAGGTCAGGGGCAAGGACTGGAAGGGGGACCTGGACTGGGATCCAGGCCAGGGCTGGGGTTGATCTGGGAAGCGGGGCGAGGGCGGGGCTGGGGGCCAAGGCCGGGATCGGGATAGGACGAGGGGCCGGGACAAGGGCTGGGCCATGGCCTGGGGCGGGGGCGGGGCCGCACAGGCCAGCGCGGGGCGCTCGCAGAGCTGACCCGCGGCTCCGCTCCCCACCCCCTGGGGTGGTTTCCGGTGTCCTCGCGGGCCTAGGGCCGAGGCTGGGGCCCTGGGTAGGAGTTCAGGCCTGGGCGACTCCGGGCTGCGCTGAACCGGGGATAACCAGGCCCCGCGGCGGCGGCCTCTGCCTGACGTCGAGGTGACGCTCCGCCCCCCGACCAGTTCGACTGGTCCCTGTCAATAAAGCCCGCCCCTGCCCTATTCTATTGGTCTTTAACTTAGTCCTGCCGGGCTTCGAGGACAGACAGACTCCGCCCCCGCCCCGCTACCTGAGACCCTGCCCTTCTCACCCCAAGCACAGAGAGCCCCGATTTTCCCCTCACTGCCTCCACCGACCGCCCCACAGGTATGTCAAAGGAATCCTACAGAGACCTTCACTGTCCCAGACTGCCCACGGACGTACCTACAGATATCCGCAGATCCTACCCAGAGACTTGCTTATAGAGATCTCGCAAGACTCCCCTTTTCGGAAGTGAACCCACTGTGTTCGTCCCCTCCGGGCCCAATACAGCTCACCCACTAGGGAGGTGACCAGACTGCTGTTGCTATGGATACTACCAGCCATTCCGGTTGCTCTAGTAACGGATTCCTCCTCTCCCGGCCTGGATTCCAGAAGCTTCAGTCAAGCCCCTCTTTCATTGCCCTGGAACCCCCCACCCCTCCCCCTTTCACCCTTCCCCAGGTCAGGCCAGGTCAGGCCAGGTCAGGCCTCTTCCCCAAAAAGTACACTTCCAGGCAGGGCCTTTCAACCTTCTGCACCTGCAGCTCAGGCTCCTCCACAACCAAGAGCCTTTCCTCTTTCAGGACCAACACTTCCCCTCCCATTCTAAGACAAGATCCTGACCTAAGGACTTGTACCAACCAAGCCAAAGCCCAGAGGTATGTAGTTTCTCCAACAGCTCTTCGTCTCCAAACTTTCATCCTGTTCCCTCTCCTAACACCTCCGCCCTCTCCTCCACCCAATCTCTCCTCTCCTTTCTCTCCTCCCATGCTCAGGTTCTCTGCCCTCAGGTCCTTTTCCCTCCAGCTGACTCTGGTCATCTTCCTCCCCTGTGCTCCTACTGCCCTTCTCAAACTTCCCCTTCAGAAAGGCTCTCATAAGTTTAAGGAGTTACATATCCAGTGTTTCTGGAGCATGGGGAGAAAGTAGAGAGCAGGGAACGTTAAGGCAGGAATACTCAAGCAGTCCTGCAAAATGATAGGCCCTGAATGTCAGGGTCAAGAAATTTGGACTTAATCCTTTAGGCACTAAATGTTTTTAAGCCATGGGATGCCAGTTGGGTTTGCATCTTAGAAAGATTTTAATTGGGTCAGCAAGAAGGACCATATCCTTCCAGGATAAATTAGGCAAACGTAGTACCTGCCTCTCCACAGCATCCCAGGCTCACCCCAGCACATCAATTCATTTGTATTGTCATTGTTGCTTAACCTGTCTCTCTCCCAGACTCAACCAAGTCCAGCTCTTAGCACAGTGCTTGAGTAAAAGTGTATGATTAGGCTCTTTGTAAAAGTGTAAGTTACATAAATAAAGGAAAAAATGGATTAATGTGCTGGGATGGCAATAGAGGGGCAAAGTTATTATACAATTCAGGCCAAAGATTATGAGAACTTCAATAAAAATGGAGAAAAACAAGAGGAGAAAATGCATTTGGAAAATATTTAAAAGATAGGAAACAGAGTTCTTGGTGACTGTTTGAAGATGGGGTCTAGGGGAAAAGGAGCAAACAAGCATAAATCCCAGAGTTCTGTTTTGATGCCCATGGGATCACCCAGTCAGCTATGAAGACATGGCACTCTACCCAAGGTGACAGAATGAGACTCTGTCTCAAAAAGAAAAAAAAAAAAAAAAGAAAGAAAGAAAAGGAAAAAAAAGAGAAAATAAATGTATAGCAGGGAATTGGGTATAGTGTTAAATATAGGGGTAAAAAAAGAACTAAATTAGAAATATGGATTTCTGGCATATAGCCAGAAATAGTTGAAGCCTTGAACATAAATGACATCATCAAGGGAGTGTGTATGTGGTCCCCAGACAAAACCAGACTACATGCAGGGTCCTGTCTTACGCATCATGCTATTCTTCTCCACTCTTAGGAGCCAGACTCAGCTTTGGCTTGTTATTCCCAGTTTCTGGAACTCTACAGCTAGACCTCCAGGATCTTAAGATACACCAAGGACCCTGCTCTTGGATTCGCCAAGTGTCTGTTTGGACTCCCTCCTGGGGCATGGTTCTCTGTTACCATCTACTGATGGGATTCTGCCTATTTCAGCCTTTCAGTCTTTAAGCTCCAACTCCCTAAAAACCCTCAGCAGCATGCCATATGAGGTCTGGGCACATGGGTGAACCTCCTGACATCACAACCTAAGACCCAGAGTTCATTTTGCTTCCCTCTTGTATCTCAGGTACACTGAGAATCCTATCCTAATTCCACAGTGCCCTGTGAACCCTAGGCTCTTCCCTAATTTACCAACCCTCCACCAACCTGATGAAACCTGTACCCTTATTCTACCACTAGATGGAAGCAGACAAGGTCACAGAAGAACCTCCTACCACCATGGATGTAGAGGAGCACCCTTCTTCAAAGGACCCCACTGCTGAGGACTTACAGAAGGACCCTATCTCTGAAGCCTTCTTGGAGCCTTCCATCTCTGAGACCCCTTTAGAGTCCCATATCTCTGAATCCCCTTTGGTGCCATCCTCTTCCCAGAGTCCACTAAAGACCCACACCTCTGAATCCCCTTTGGCACCATCCTCTTCCCAGAGTCCATTAGAGACCCACACCTCTGAATCTACTTTGGTGCCATCCCCTCCCCAGGCCCCATTAGAGACCCACACCTTTGAATCTCCTTTGGTGCCATCCTCTTCCCAGAGTCCATTAGAGACCCACACCTCTGAAACTACTGTAATGCCATCCCCTCCCCAGGCCCCATTAGAAACCCACACCTTTGAATCCCCTTTGATGCCATCCTCTTCCCAGACCCCATTAGAGATCCACACATCCGAATCCCCTTTGGTGCCATCCCTTTCCCAGACCCCATTGGAGACCTACACCTCTGAAACCCATCTGCAGCTTTCCAACTCTGAGACTACTTTAGGGCATGCCACCTATGAGATCCCTTTGGAAACCTCTACCTATGAGAGTCACATAGAAGCAAAACACCTTAGTTTTCATCCCTCATCAGTAGGCCATGTCTCTGTATCTCCCTCTGATGGGCTGGGGGAAGACCTCTCCTATGAGTACACCCTAGACCTTAAATCTGAGAGCCTTCCAGAGGACTCCCTTTCAGGCCCTTCTACCCAGGTGCAAATGGACAGGTCTGCAAAGCAGAAAGAAGAGGGAAGAGAGGACGAGGAAGAAGTGGATGCCAGTGCCAGCACTGCTCACACAGCCCATCCTGGACACCAGCCGGGCAAGAAGAAGGGGAAGAAAGAAGTTAGCTGTAATTGCTCCTGCCCTTTCCCCTGTCCTCACCACTATCCACTGTTTGTGATCTGCCCCAGAAGGAAGAGACTGGGTTACTCTTGGACCTGGCCCCTTCTCTTAGGTTTAGGGCTTTTCACTCCTCTTTAGTTACTCAGCCCCTCCCTTTCCAGGTTACACAGGCCATCTAGTGGTCCCTGTTAAGCAGGCAGAGCTGGTGGGAGTGGCTAAGGCAATGCACAGAGAGAAGTTTGATGTTCAGGTGAACCATCTTTTCCAATGGGAGAAGAATGCAGCCCTGAATGCCATCCAGACAGGTGAGCCCATGTGGCCCTTCAGAAAATTGTGACAGGCCCATGGCCATCCTCCAATCCAAAAAGATCTGAGAACCTGCCCATGAAACAGATAGGTGCCCTATATAGAAATGGCAATACCAGCCCACCTGCCTGGAATCTGGTAGGAGAGAAAGCAGGTGGGCCAAGAAATACCAGGACACAGACCAAAAAGTGGGAGTATTCATATACTATAAAGCCGACATAGGAGCATAGTGGCTGAACTAAAATTATTAAAAACAGAAAGGTTACAGGCCCACCCCAGATGGGCCCAGATAGCTTACAACAGAAAGACCCTAAGGTAGAAATGACCCAAGATCCAAGACAGTCCCCAGGAGACTTGCTGTTCTGACATGCTAAAGGCCTTAGTCCCTTTGGTGGAACTTCACTAAAAAGCTATCACTCTTGCATTCCAGGCCCATTCTGGGTAACCTAAAGCTTTAGGTTTCCTTACCAAAGAGGATTTCAAGTCTCAGTCCATAATTAATACTCTTAACAGTCCTGTTAGTATGTGCTGTGTACAGATGAACCATGTAAACACACACCATCTGTGAGTGCAAGTCTACCTGTGTTACTAAACTTCATGTCTATAGGGACTGCCTTTGGGAAGAGATCCACCCAGACCTGCTACTATAAGGATTCTGGGATTTCTAAACTGAATACAATAGATCCCCTACATTTATTTTGGTCTTTTATACTCCTTCCCCTTATAATGGGAATAGAGCTATGTCGAAAGGCCTGAGATATAAAGAAAACTAAGTAATTCTATATGCTTACCCTCCTCTAGGTAATTTATCTACTCCCATACAAGGATCTTCCCCCCCACCCCACCCCTAACCAAGAAAATCACTGTGCTCTCTCTTGTTTCTCAATCTCAATTCAGACACTGTCACGGCTTTGTTTGCCTAACATCTCCTGTTATACTTATTTTCTTGCAAAAACAGAGTCTATTCAGTCCCTCATTCCCCTTCTCAGAACCTATTATCCACTCCCTACTTTTCAAGGTCACTGTATTTCTTTTTCGTTTTCATTGAACTGAACTTCATTTTCCTGTTTAAATAGGCAGTTTTATACAGAAATTTAAGTGTCATTCACCCTGAACAAAAATATGTGGGATCCCCTCATAATATTGAGGATCTCAAGTCCCTGAAGAGTCAGAACTCCATAATGTTGTATGTGATTGCAGAGAAATATCAAGTGTAAGCTATTCTTTTATTCATTCACCAAACATTTACTGAGCATCAAGTATGTGCCAGGCATTGAGCTAACCATAGAGGCCGCAGTTGCAGGGGGGTGTCAAAGACAAAATTCCTCAAATAATTTAATGGGAGATACAAATAAGTAAAAGGACAATTATAATTAGCTCTAATAATTGCAATAGTCAAGGTCCATCCAGACTGCTATCAGATGAAAGCAGAAAAAAGTGGCACCCAATTTGGAGTGCATGAGGAACAAGAAGCCTTAGAAAGAATGATTTCTCAGCTGATATCTGTAAGGTGAGTAGGAATAGGCAGCCAATTAAAGAGTGGGGAAAGGTGAGACATATCAGGGCAAGGCACCACAGAACACTGTAGCAATGCATTATGTCTGGTGCAGAGGGGGTGGGAGGATAGCCTACTAAGCTCTAGAAGGTCAGAATTGTGCAGACATTTCTGTGCCAAACTAAAGAATTCATATTATATCCTAAGGGCAACTGAAAATCACTAAAAGATTCCAAACAGGATAATAACATGAAAAGATTTGTATTTTTGAAAGATCACCTTGGCAATAGGATAGACCAGAGAAAGACAAGACTGGAGATGGGAAAATACATTGTGAGGCACAGGTAATAATCCAGGTGAGAAGTGAATTGGAATAGGTGGAAAGAAGTGAACAGAAATGCTAACAAGGGAAAACCAACCATTGGATCTTTGGGTATGTAGGATAAGAGAGGGAAATGCCTGAAATGACAGGTTTTTGATATATATAAATATATATATTGGTGCCATTAACCGAATATATATGATGGTGCCATTAACCGAATCTCTAAAACAGAGTAGCTGCTTGGTAAGCCTATATTGGATGAACAGAGGACAAGGGATAAGAGCCAAGTTTGGAGGGAATAATTGCATGTAACACATGTGAAGTGCTTATGCAATATACCAGTCTAGTAGATAGTTGGCTATGTAGGTCTGAAGCTCAGGAGAGAAGTCTGGACTGGAGACAAAGACAGCTGTATGTTCTATGGAGACATTCTATGCATAGATATTATTATGAAAATGTGATTATGTGGTCATGGAATTAGAATGTGTTGTATATAATTAAAATGGCATCCCAGATAACATCTCTTTCCTCTGCCAGTCCTTGTCCACTCAAAACAGGAAGATAGTTGAGAATCAAGGCAGAGAGTAGAGAATCTTACATGGGAATCCATTGCCAGATGCCAACTGTCCCTCTTTAAGAGCAGTGAAACCTGTAACGCAGTCTGTTCAAACTCTAGTCTCCATCTAAACTCTGGGCTCTGATTCTCCTACCAGTGCTTGGTCTTGACTAGCCCAGGCTCTGAGACCAGGCCTTGATCTGTGGGCACTGACCCTGTTCACCAATGTGACCCTTACCTGCTCCTTTAATGTAGCCTGCTACTCCAGAGCTCAGAACTTCTCTAGTGGAATCTTGGCTCCTGCCACCCCATTGTGACTGCCTATACTCCCCTCTCTACCAAGCTCACTGGTATAATAGGGCACTGACACTACAGGCTGTCAGTGTCAAGCAGCAAGGCCAAACGCCACATCTGGACAGGCTGTAGGTCCTAAGAGGCCATGGGTAAGACAAGAAAGCCTAGTCTGAGGCATAGAATTATGAATTATGGCTCTGGCCAGAATCAAAAACTGGGGCACACCAATTCTTTCCTCCTTCCTATGGAACATCAGGGTTATGCCTGAAATACTGGATCTCTCTTCCCTCTTCAGGGAATTTGCTCCTTCACTTAAGTTAATATGGCAATCTGTGTTCTCTCAGCACCTATTTTATGCCAGACTCTGTGCTAGGATTCGAGAATATAAGTGAACAGTCAGTTATAATGCCCTGCACTGATAGGGGTAGCACAAGGCACTCTGGAAGGCAAGAGGAGGGGCCTAGACAGACCAGGCAAGTCAGAAACAGCTTTTTGGTGGAGGTGACATTTCACTTTTAAGTGGGAATAAGAGTCCTAAAGCTGAAGGTCCCACTCCATGGGGACTTACATGGGATTCTTGGCCAGAAGTTGGGGTGCTCTTCTCTAGGATAAGAGAACCTAGACAGAAAGTGCTAACTGGTTCTCCCATGTTTACATGGCAACACTCTGGCTTTGTGGTGAGACTGGGCGTGAAGCCCAACAGCTTCAGGCCTCACTCCTGAACCTGGCTCTCAAGGCCTTACAGCCTCCTGTTGGTGCCTCCTCTGAAGGATACTTCTTAGCCTCACAACATAGCTCTATTCCCATTATAAGGGGAAGGAGTATGAAAGACCAAAATAAATGCAGTGGATTTCTATGCCTCCCTTCTTGGCCTGGCAACTTATAATTTTTAGTCTTCACTATCCATGACTTCCAACCTATCCCTTTCTCCTAACTCTTTCAGTTCTTCTCAAGTTCATAGAGGGTATTAGCAGCATGCACACAAAAGGGAAGTACAAAGGTACCAACCTGGAGAAGTGAAGGGAAGTCCTCCTCCTACCTGCTAGTACCAGGCTGCCCAACCACCTCTTCCTCTTTAGGTACCTTCCATAACCATGCTCCTTAGGAGCCAATCCCCGGGCCAACCATCTTCCCCTTCCTATACCTCAGACACTTCAAGGAAACAAAGCTAAGTTGGGCTGCAATCTGGTAAGGAGAGATGAGAATCCCTATAGCCACAGATAAATCAGTGAGGTTCATGTTCATCTTTAAATAAGATTTCATCTAAAACATTCCTGCTAAGAAATTGAAGACTATCTTGAGTCACCTCTGTTGGCTGATAGAGATGAAGTGGATCCTGGGTAGGAAGGGAACTGAAGACCCTTGTAGGGTAATGAGAAAATCTTGAGAGAAAAGTCTAAAGGGGTAAAGATAAGGATTCTCAGGTGAAGATGAATACACCTAGGGGGAGAGGTGAGTCCACCCTCCAGGAGACAGGTGAGAACACTTACAGGGAGCTTAGGATTTTTTCCCTCTCATTTTTCCTTACTACTCAATCCCACCACACCTAGGTCTCTACATTGGCTGGCGCTGTCCTCATTATCTATGGGACTGTTTCCGGATTGGGGATGAGTCCAAATGCTTTTGTGGACACTTGTTGAGAGAGCACCGGATCATCTCAGGTAGGAGAGAACTGACCAGCCCCTGTTAGGTGTGGAAGGATACTTATACTCTGTCATGTTTGAAGATGTATGAGAGAAAGTGTGTGCACTTTGTTAGTGCAGGGGAGGAGTTGACACGGGCAGACCAGGCCCTAGCAGGCACTAGTGTCACCCTAACACCTATCCCATTCCCATAGACATATCCGTGCCCTGCAATGTGAGCCAGTGCCGCTGCCTCATGTTCTGCTTTATCCCTTCACGCCCAGAAGAGGTGGGTGAGTTCTGGCTCACGAGACGGGCCACCTTCGACCCCAAAGCCTGGAGGGCCCAATGTCGTTGCAAACACAGCCACGAAGAACATGCAGCCACTGGGTCCCATCCCTGCAGGCATCGTGGTAACTTCTAGGGCAAAGGGCATATTAGGAGGAGCGGGGGGGTGGGGGGGGGTGGGGGGACAGGATGCAAATAGTTTGAGAATAATGATAGGAAACTGTAAGAGAGACTTGAGCATGCAGTTAGTGAAGAAGAGATGACCATATTATCAGCCCATTGGGATACCCCAATTTCCTATACTCTTTTTGGATGCCCTTTTGCCCACAGATTCTCTTTTTGGATGCCCTTTTGCCCACAGATTGTTGCTGTAGATATTTTGAGTCTAATTTCCTCTGTGCGGCCTGTGACCGACGCTGGGAGGAACATGAGACTTTCTTTGAAACTGAAGAGACCCGGCGACGAGGAGGAAGGCCTCATGGTTAGGTGGCAACCTGAGATGGGGCCATTCCAGGGTCTAGAGTATGAAGACCAGGCAGGAAGGCACCCCCATCTTCAACCATCCCCTCCAGGACTACCACATTCCCTTCCCTCACCACTTTTATTCCCACCCCCTCACATCCATACCTTCACTGGTTTTTACCCCCAGGAGCAGACTATGTGCCTTTTGCAGAGATGCCTGCCCTCCGAGAAGCCATCCTCCACAACTCTGACTTTGAGGCCCTGCAGATGCATGGGCCCTCTGGCCTTCCCAGCTCCCACCCTAGTTCCCCTGGGCTCCCTGGCCCACACAGCCCCCAGCCTGGCCCTACATCTGACCGCCATATCTGACCCTTTCACCTCTGCTTTTCCCTCTTCCAGGGACAGACACTGTCAACAACTGGCGTAGGCCCATGTGAGGCTGGCCTAGATCAGCAATAAAGGGGAAGTCACTGAAACCTGACCTGACTCTGTATAGGGAAGATAGAGCCTAGTCTGGGGACAGATAGCCTAATACCTTAGAGTCAACACTTACTGGGGGCAGGAGAGAGGCTGGATCCAGCCATCTGCCTCCATCTCACCCACATTCAAGCTTTTGGCTCTAATAACAGGAGAGTAATTTCAAGGAAGCCAAGAAGGGAGGAAGTTTCAAGAAGGATAGAGTGGGAAGTGATATTAGATGCAGCTGGGGCACCGGTAAGATAAAGACTAAAGAGTAGCCATTGGATTTTACAAGTAGAAGGTCTTTGGGGACTTCAGAGGGTGCAGCTTCACAATGGTACAGTGGGGTCAGAAGGCAAAAAGAAGTGAGTATGAAGGAGTCTTCTCCAAGAAGCTTGGATGAAAGGTTCAGGAGAGAAATCAAACAATATTCAGAAAGAGATATGGAGTTAAGGAAGCACTTTTTTAGGAAGAAAAAGAGGAATAACCCAGTAGACAAAAAGACCTTAGATGATACAGAATAGACAAGTGAGATGCCTGGTGAATTAAGATCACACAGAGATGGAGGCAGGGGATGAAGTCAAGGCAGAGGTGAAGGAATTTTCTCTGGACAGGATAAACACTACTTCCTAAGACCGAGAGGAAGGAGGAAAGGATGGTACCTTTACTAAGCTTCAGGGAACAGGATCTTGTGGAAGTTCCCCCATGATGGCTGCTATCCTCCTTTTGAAGCAAGAGATAAGGCCAATTGCTGGTGGGGGGTGAGAGGGATAAGAGTGGGGAATAGTGACAGGAAGAGAAAGGGGAAAGTTTGGGAAGGCTAATGAGGGGAGTTGGGAAAAAAAGCTGATCGTGTGTAGTTCAGGATTCAGGTACAGTTAGAAGTAAAAATGTAATTAGAGCAGGGAAGTAAAATATTTAAATTAACACCAGAGGGTGTCAGGGAGGTATAATCAGGCAAAAGAAGAAGGCATGAGAATGTGAAGGGACTAGACCATACACATTGGGAAAGAAAGTGATGCCAGGACGCAACCAACAGACTGAAAATGGGAGCAGTCAGAGGAACAGAAGTCTCTAATGAGGTCCTGGAGCAGATGTAGTGGGCAGAGATTAAAGTACAGGAGCCAGTGGTCAGAGGCTGCAGGGTATCACAGCTTTCAGATGAGAACAGCTGCAGGTGATGACAAGTGCTTAGAGAAAAGAAGACTTTGAGCCAGGGGTCAAAATCAGTGAATGGAGGGAGTAACTAGTCCATAGATAATTCTTCCAAGAGTAGGAGATTCTAACACTAACAAGCTTAGAACCCTCTTTTATGCCACAGTTTCTGGGTCTGTAAAACAGAAATAACCTCTTTGTTGGCTACTCCCTATGAAAACCCAAAGAAATAACAACTTTAAAGTACTCACCTATTCCTCTAGATTGGTTTTCTTCAACTTCCTATATCCCAGATCACTTATCTCTTGTCCTCTTCCTGGGCAGCTCTAGGGTTTCCCAGTGTCCCAGAGGCACCACACAGAACTGTAGCCTCTGGGACACAAAGAGGCCATTCTACATTTCCTCACATTTAAGCAAGCCACCTGTCCTTCCAAGGGAAGGAATGCAGCATGGACTTCTAGAGGAAAAATCACACGATCAATTGTCAGCCCTGTGGAGAAGGACTTTCTAACAATATAACTCTATAAAAGAGATTGTACTATCTCTAGAAGCAAAGAGTTCCTCAACACTAGTTATATGCGCCATGATAACCGTTCACCTATAATTAATTCAACTAATAGTCAACAATAGAAGAGTTACTATGATAAACTCAGCTACAGAAATATTATGCAGCAATACAAAGAATATTTACATAAACTATGTAAAAATATAAAAAATTGATTAGAAGTGGGAGAATAATACCTTATGAGATACATATTATGAGGGAAAAAGAGAGGAAACACCAAATGTTATTCATTCCACAATTAAGCACCTGTGTCAGGCCATGTGCTAAAAAAAAAAACCGTAAAGATACCATGGTAACTTGTACGTGATGTCAGACTAAAACTTACCCGAAGTCTGAGTATATAGCGTTTTGTAATCCCATGTGTCCTACGTAAAAATATATATTCCAGCAGAGCAAACGTGATTCATGGAAAAATGCCAACTAACGGTATCGCACACCTTTTCTGATTAGAAAAGAACATTGGATACATACTCTTTTGCTTATTAGTAGTGCGGCAAAGACCAGATGTTCTCATCTCTGCCCGTTTAAAAAATCGATGCAAGTAACGCCCTGAAAACTAAAAAAGCTTTAGTCTATGGCGTATGTTAACAAAAACATAGTCCTTAGATGAGTAAGTTAAAAATCTCTGAAATGTTCAAGGGGCTGAAGTTGTCCTTGAGGAGAAATGCTGCCCCCACCCACAGTTAAAAATGAACCCCCTACCCCCGTCTCAGTTCATCTTTAGCCCGAGGTGATTCCTGCAACCAATAAGCGCCGAAAGCCCCCAGAACCCCGCCCTCCTTCTGGTGAACGCGGTGAATAAGCTTCTGAACCTTAGTCTTTCGGGCAGCGGGTGACCTACCCTTTGGGCTAGGCCTGAAGAGGACAGCCCGGAACCAAGAACCCCACCCTCTCTGCACACGCAACCTAAGCCGAGCCAACGTTGGGTATCGAATCCAACTAGGAGAAAAACCCCGCTTCCAGGTTTCCCAGTGCTTCTAATGGAAACCAGTTAGGGGATCAAATGGGGAAAGACCAAAAGAATAGAAGACGAAGCCAATGAAGTGGAAAATTGTCCCTGCGTTGGCAGTCATTGGGATGAAAAGATTCCGCCTCTACAGTGGCAGCGGAGCCAATGGGATGAATCGTGCCCAGGAGTTTGCTCCAATGAGGCGGCAGGTCTCGCCCGGCCACAGGCGGAGCCAAAGGCCCGGGCTCACTGGCTCACTGGCTCACTGGCTCACTGGCTGCCTGACTGCCCGCCTCTGGCCGCGGCGGAGCCTAGTGCGGGCCCTGGTTGCGCGAGGTTCCCGCGCCTTCGGGAAGATGGCGGCGGCCGTGGTGTTGACCGCCGGCTTGCGCGCGGCGCGCAGAGCCATGGCAGTCGCGGGGCCGCGAGGGGCGCAGGTGAGAAGGGGCAAGGAGGGTGTATAGCGGGCTCTGACGCCCTCCAAGGCTGAGGGTCCGTTCCTCCCTACTCCCGAAAGCGCTCAGGACCTCAGCCTGAGCGCCGGTGGCCGATGCCCTTCCCGCACAAGGTTCGGGGCTGTACAGAAGGTCGAAATAGTGGCTGCGGAGAGCAAACTAGCGATGGCCGCTGTTCTACATAGTCCCAGGCGCCGAGGTCTGGATAGGGTCACCACAGCGCTGCTGCCTTCGCCAGCCCACAGCCCAGAAGTTCTGTTGTCTGCTCCGGGACGCCTCCTGGGTGCCCCCTGCAGGAAGTGAGTTTTCTCTACTTGGAGCCAGTTCTTTGTCCCGATCCGGTCAGACGTTTGGTCTTCTAATGAGCACTAGTGTTAACCTCTCATACCCCACCCCTCACTCACTTGGCAGACGACTTAGGGGTTAGAAAAGTTTAATCCTCCCGCCCATTTCTCCTGTAACGTGACACACTGACTTCAGCCTTCTCCGAGTCCCTGGAAAACTGGAACTCCCCCACCTCCAGTCTCCTGGGGATGAGGGCACTGAGGTCACTTAGCTTTACTCTTACCTCCATTGATAAAAAGGAACAGGAGTTAAAATCCACAATAAGAGGTCCGATGGTGAAACCTAGACGAGGGATCACCTAGTGTCAAACAGGGCAATTGCATTAAAACCTAAATAAAACAGATAACAAGGCTTAAAGATCAGAAAACGCATAATGGAAATAAGTGCAAATGTATTAAGGTTGAGAATAGGCTGGACACAGTGGCTCGTGCCTGTAATCCTACCACTCTGGGAGGCCAAGCAGGATTGATCCCTTGAGCAGGAGTTTGAGACCAGCCTGAGCAAGAGCAAGATCCCATCTCTACTAAAAAATAGAAAAAAACTAGCCAGGCATCATGGCTAGCACCTGTAGTCCCAACTACTGCAGAGGCTGAGGCAAGAGGATCACCTGAGCCCAAGAGGTTGAAGTTGCTATGAGCTATGATGATGTCATGGCATTCTTTCAAGGGCAACAGAGTGAGACTGTCTCAAAAAACAAGGTGAGAGTAAATGGAGCTTCAAGCCCTCTTAAGAGATAATGCAGACCACCTCTTTATTTTATATTTGAAGCCAAGGAAAGGTTTGTCTGAGGTAATTCAGTGCTAAATTAGGAACTGAGCCCTAAATCCAGTCTCATTCTAGATTCTTTTCCCTGAATCAGTGCTAGATTTCATACACCTGTTAGCAGAAATCAATTGCACTGCTGAATTCTGGGTCGTAATACTGCCTGTTATCTAACCAGGTGCAGTGCCTTCTGGCCCTACCCTTTTCTGGTGGTATCCTGAAACTCAAGAACTTTTCCACTGGGTAGGAACCACTAAGAAGTTCTTAGAAAGATGAAGCTGAGAACTGTCAGAGCCCAGCCTAAGCCAGCCCTGACCAAGTACATGGGAAAGGTGTAAATCCATACTCCCTCGCTTGGATTTATGTGACTCACTTTCAGGGCCGAAGAGTTGCAGGTGTGACTAATGGGAATGAAGTGGTCAAGGCCCAACAGGCAGCTCCTGGAGGAGCAGCCCCAACCATCTTCTCCCGGATCCTGGACCGAAGCCTCCCAGCTGACATTCTATATGAGGACCAGCAGGTGAGGTGCCCTTAGGACCCAACCCTTTAGGAATTTTGTAGATACCGTCCTGCCTTTTGAAGTAACATAGTGGCCTGTGGCTTGTCACTGCTCCTAGTGTCTTGTGTTCCGTGATGTAGCCCCTCAGGCTCCTGTGCACTTCCTGGTCATTCCTAAGAAGCCTATTCCTCGGATTAGCCAGGCCGAAGAAGAAGACCAGCAGGTGAGAAGAATAAGTCCAGGGTTTGGCTGGGAGGAGCTCAGCTGAGTTTAGCTTCCCATGAATGAAGCCACCTATATCCCTCCCATCTCCCTATAGCTTCTAGGACACCTACTCCTTGTGGCCAAGAAGATAGCAAAGGCTGAGGGGTTAGGAGATGGATACCGACTTGGTGAGTGACTTTTGGCCCTTGGCCCCTCACCCGTGAATTCTAATTCGTACTACTCAATATGATCGTCATTCTTTAACCTCTACCGTGATCTGACCCTCTCTAACCCCAAGCTCTATTTCAGTGATCAATGATGGGAAGCTGGGCGCACAATCTGTGTATCACCTGCATCTTCACGTACTTGGAGGCCGACAGCTCCAGTGGCCTCCAGGTTGAATCTACAAACTGACCTAGGATCCCAGACCTGGATGCTTGGATGGGGAAGGGAAAGGAGGATTCTGTGATGCTAATAAACCTGCTCTCCCTCAATTTTGCATCCCTGTCTGAAATATATAAAGATGTGTACCACAAAGGGGAAAGAAAACTGATGTAGGGTTATGAACCCTCTTGACTATGGTTGAGTAAAAGACACTCAGGAGGTCTAGCTTGGGGTTAAAGGAGTACTTACTGGCTAGGCACGATGGCTCACCCGGTGTCTCCCAAAGCCAAGCCTGGAAGACTGCTTGAGGCCAGTAGTTCACACTAAGCCTGGGAAACAAATCCAGCCCCTATCTCTGCAAAAAGTTTAAAAATTAGTAGGGCCTGGTTATTGTATACCTGTGGTCCCAATTTCTCAGGAAGCTCAGGCAGGAGGATTGCTTGAGCTCAGGAATTCAAGGTTACAGTAAGCTATGATTTGCTACCACACTCCAGCCAGGATGACAGAGCAAGACCTGTCTCTAAAAAAATAAGAAAAAAGGAAGCTTTTGCCAGCAGATAATTGAGTCATCATGACAAGTGGTCTAACCTAGATCAAACTTCTAGGAAAGTAGTAGCATGAATGAGTAGAAGAAAGTGAAACCCTGGTCTAAGACTTGTTCCATCCTGGCCCTTATTCAAAGGTCAAACCAGGTTCTAAAGGGAATTGGGAAGAGGGTGGTCAGTATGAAGGCCTTTATAATACTAGAAAAGTATCACACCGAGGAAAAAAAAAGAAAGCTGCTACCTTTTCACTACTCCCTGTCTCATCATTTTGATCTTAAGCTGGTTCTTATATTTTCATACTTAAACTTTTTTTTAAAGACTACTCCGCACCCTCTTTTGAGAATGTACTAAGCAAACTAAAAGGAAGCTACTGTTTCCCCTCTACAACACACCAAATAGGCTATTGCCTGATGCCACAGCCCTGGGCAAATCTCCAATATATCCTCATGAAGAATCACTTTAGCTGCAAACAATCAAGCTTGAGCTTGGAGGGCGAGGTCTTACACCAGCGGAACTTTAAAAACCCGGTTGAGGCAAGACGGAGTCGGACTGAAAAGCGGACTTCTCAGATCGCACCAACTTTAAGACTTCCGCCGCACGGAGGACTTGCCTCCACCCTCACCCTCAACCACATCCGCCCAGCTCTAGTTCTGCGCAGACTCCAGGAATTGTTTGTCGTCTCTATGGCAACCTAGCAGCTGGGGTGTGAAGATGGAGACCGAGTCTACGGAAGGATCGCCGTCGCGGTGAGAGCCATAGCTCTGGCTGCAGGCATAAAGGAACAAGGAAGATCAGCGGTCTTTCTCTGCTGTGTTTTTGACAACTTTGTAGCTTTTGCTTTCTTTCAGATCGTTACGTGTACAGCCCAGCTCTGAAGATCTTGGGTCCACTTCAGAACCGTTACCTTCAGACAGCGTTCCTAGGTCTGCTCTAGCAGCCGCAACCTTAGTGGCTGCATCAGCGGCTGCATCAGCGGCTGCATCTGCAGCTGAAGCCTCTGCAGCCATCACCACCGCCAAACAGGGGGCATTATCTACACAGATTTCAGCACCCTATTCTGGGTTCACAGAGCCCTCCTCTGATACCAGTCTTCTTGGGGAGCCATGCGTGGGACCCAGATTTACACACAAAATAGGCCATGGAAGTCTTGGCTTTGAACCTGCCTATGTTTCCTGTATTACTGGGGATCTCTATACTACATCTGACCTTAGTTCTAGCCCTGGCCCTATTCTGGACTCCAGCTCTGGTCCTGGCTATGACTCTGTCCCTGGTTCTGGGCCTGGCCATGGCTCTGTCCCTCGTTCTGGTGCAGGTCCTGGCTATGGCTCTGGGCCTGGCCATAAATCTGTCCAAGACTATGACTCTGGCTCTGGCTCTGAACCTGGCCATGGCTATGGCCCTGGCTCTGAGCCTGGCCGTGGCTATGGCCCTGGCTCTGAGCCTGGCCGTGGCTATGGCCCTGGCTCTGAGCCTGGCCGTGGCT